ATTCGACTAAATTCATTTATGCTCAGTTGTATTGTTTCATTGTCATATGTGTTGAATCATAAACAATAACTTTGTAATACCTTGTATTTAATATTACAATGAAATAAACAATAAATTCAATGATTTCTCTCTCATTCATCCACAATTTCTTTATCAATACTTCTAATTCAATAATCATATTTTCATTTGTTATTCAAACTTCTTTTCCTTTGAACTTTTCTTTCTTAAAACAAACACTTTCACCGAATAAACAATCAAAATGTTTGTTGTTTATTTTAGTTACATATTCTCATACTCAATCAATACATCATGTTTTATTTATATTCATACTCTTTCTTATCACTATCTTCTTTGTTGCATTTTGGTTTTGGTAAGTCACATCAACATCTATTCCATTATTCTATTATAAATAACAAAACTATTCTTTCTCTTTAGTTGTATCATCATGCAGTAAAATGATTGTGTTTCATTCTTTAAAATAACTACTCCACTATTCTTCATAACTTTTGTCTTCTTGTTGTTGATGAGGAATAATTTCATTTCAAATTGATATCTTGTTTTAATAATATTGAAAATAGTAGAACATTCACATTCTTTTTTTAATTGAAAGTGTGTTTTTAATATTAGAAACATGACTCATTCAATATTCATCTGTTATTCGTTCATTCCAGATATTTCTTTTTATTCAAATGGATATGTTTTATCATGAACTTGTTGTTGAATATCAATTCAATTTATTACTCTTTTCAATAATATATTTTAATTGATATAATATTGTTATATGATACATTGAACTTCAAAAAAATGATTAACTTTCAATTAAAACTGAATTTAATCATCAAAAATTGTGTGTTTGTATTGGTGTTGTTGAAAATAAAATATAATTACTACAAATGATTGATTTTTATTTATTAATACAATTTATGTTTTATAATTCAATTGAAACACAATTATCTTCTATTTTGTATGAATGACATTTATTCAATTTCCATTTCTTATGTAAAATACAAATTGTTGTAATTGTATATATCAACATCAAATAACATCATTATCTTCAAATGGAGTATTGTATTACTTCTCTTTGTCTCTCTATTGAATAATTTCTATCATTAAAACTTAGTTTTATAATTATATTCTACTTGCTGATAACAAATATTTTAATCAAATTACTTCAATCAATTCAAATAAATATAGTATTGTCTTTTCTATCATTATTAAATTCACAATATTGAATATTTTTAATAAACTGATATTTTTCAATACAAACACACACGTATCATTTAGACAAATATAAAAGTGTTTACAATTTAATTTGTTTAAGAATTGAAAATGATTCAATGGTGTTTTGAAATGAAACAAAAGTGGTTGTTTATCCCTATCAATAAATACAACTCTTTGTTGATTATTATTAAGATTAATGTGTGTATATTCTTCATCATTTTGAATGTTGCAATTATAGTCAGTGATATTAAAATTACTCGTACAAAACATTGTTTATATACTACAAACTATCCTTATTGATTAATAACTCTCTTGCTGTTGTTCATATGATTTTACAATAAACTCTTAATTATTCATAACATATTATTTTTATTTGAAGTATTTCTCCTTTTATACTATAAGATATTCATTAAAATACTACTCGTTACTGTTTATTTACTATTAGTATAATAAGACATACACCCAAACGTTTACTGATTTTAAAGAAAGGATATGTTATGAACAGTTGATCATTGTTAATATATGAAAAAAGAAATTATAACACATAAAGACTAAAATAAACAAACAAAAAAAAACAGGAATAAATGAACTATCTCTATAGAGGAATATATTAATAAATGATTATACTGCGAATATAACAATGAATAAAAGGTTGAATAGAAGTTAATTCACAATAGATAAAGAAAAAAAAGTAAGAAAAGAAATAAAAACAATAATTCAAAAGAAAATAGAATTAAAAAAAAATGAATTAAAAATTCCAATTATTGACCACCATTAATTAATTCCAATAATTCAATAGCTTTCTTTTTTAAATCTGAATTATCAAAACTTTCAACATTTCTTAAAAGGTCAAGATAAGCAACAACACTCATTTTTTCATAGACATATAAATGGAAATCAAATAAATCAACTTGTAAACGATTAAAATAAGAAAGTATTTGTTCGATATATCTTTTAGCATTTTCAAGATCACCTTTAAGGAAATAAGCATTTGCAAAAGCTAATAATAAATAAGCGTTAGTACTAGAAGGGTCATTTTCATCTTTAGAATTAATAATTTTAAGTAAATTACAAGCGTTTTCAATTTCATTACATTTAAGAGAATATTTAATAATTTTATTTAATAAATTTCTATTATACGGTTGTTTCTCTCTAATTAATTCCAAATATTTTATAGCTTGTTTAAATTCTTCCCTTTTAGATAAACATTTTGCTTTCCAATAATATTTTTGAAGAATAAATTCATCTTTATCAATAATTTCAAGATATTCTAAAGCTTCATTTAAATCACCACTTTGAATAATCATTGAAACATAATTTAATAAAATAGAACTACTTTTATTTTGAATTTCTTTTGCAGGAATATTTTTATAAGAAAGACAATAACGAGCAGCATGACTTAAATCTTTTAATTTATTTAAAACGCATTGATATTTTAATTCTGCGTCAATACTAATTTTTGAATTAAAAACATTATTTAAAAGTTTATTAATATTCGTTTTTTTTAATGTTATTAATTCATCAATAAACATTTCTAATTCTTTTTTTAATTCTTCATTAAATGAACGAAGACAAAAATATTCAATTTGAACAAAATAACTTTTATCAAAATTAACTTCTTTATAAAATTCTTGAAGTTCTTTTAATGAATCATCTGAATTTAATTTTCCTAAATTAATATTAAATAAATCTAATAAAATAGAATGATATAATTCATTATATGGATTTAATTTAAATAATTCTTTTAATATATTTTTTACTTCTTTTGTATTTTGAAGATTAAAATAACATTTTAATAATTCTTCTTTAACAAATGTTTTATCTAAAATAAATTGTCCTTCTTTTTTAAGAAATTCTAATGCTTTTTCATACATTTTACCTTCTATTAAAATTATAATTTTAAATTGTAGTAAATCTGACCATCTCCAATCATCTTGTTTTTTTGCAAAATGTGTCATAAATACATTTAATGATTGAAATGCAATTTCATATTTTGCTGCACAAAATGCTGATGTTGCTTTACAAATCCAATTTCCTCCAAAATCCCTTTTCATATCAACCATTTGTGTTCTTGTTTGAAGTGCTCCATTATAATCATGATTTTGCATTTGAAGACAATATAAATCTCTTTTTAAAAATAATGATTTTCCATCTAAATTATTCATTGTTTTAAATGCTTTTAATGCTTCTGAATATCTTTTTTCTGATCTACATACAATTCCATATAAATGCCAAATAGTAGCACTTCTTAAATTATTTCTTAATGCATATTTAATTCCTTCTATTGTTTCTTTCGCTTCTTGTTGTTCTGTTTGATAAAGAATTAAATTTTTCATAGCAATTGCTTCTCCATTTTCTGGTATAACTTTTAATATTTTATTAAGATTATTGAGTGCTTGTGAATATTTTTTTGATTCATATTCTTTACATATTTTTTTATACGTCTCTGACTGTGCTAATGTAAATTTTTGTTGTTTTTGAATTTCTTCTGCACTCAACTTACTCATTCTGAAAAATTGTATTGTAAACTATCTTTTTTAGTTCTTTTTTATTCCTCTTTTATTTTTATTGTTATTCTTTTATTATTTATTATTATTCTTTCGTTTTCTATCTTTTTCACTTTTTTCTCCTTCTTTTTTTTTCTTCTCTCATTCTTTTTTTTTTTTAAATTATTCAATTTTTCGTTTTATATAACGTTATTTTTTGTATTTTTCTTTAAAATGATATAAAAACAAAAAAAAAAAAGAAATAACTTAAAAACACAAAAATAAAAATTAGTTAATTAAGTATTAATAGAATTTTCATCTATTCTTCCTAGCTCAGGGGAGACTAATCCCATCCCTTCGCTTATTAAAAAAGAGTAATCTCTTTGTTGAACCTATCATTTAGGTTTGTCTTGCAAAATGAGGAAAGCACTTCTTTGCTTTATTTTTCCTATTAAGGTTTTTTCAAACTTCTTCTGCTAATTCTTCTTTTTAAGCCTTTGTTTGTTTTCTGCCTTAATTTTAAGGAATTTCATTTTTCTTATTTTATGAATGGAAGAAGGAATCATTTTATTACTACTGTATTACTTTGACTAATCTTCTTTTTAGTCTTACTTTGACTAATCTTCTTTTTAGTCTTACTTTGACTAATCTTCTTTTTAGTCATACCCACACTTCAGTAGATTCTTATATTACATCCACGTAATATTCTACTGTATTCTCTTGCTGCACCCTTTGCAGCATTCCCTAATACATTCCTAATTCAAAAGCACCGTCATAACCAGATAATAACTGGGAGAGTCGAAGAATGAATTTGTACTAGGGCTTATGTGTGGTGTTTCAGACGTGCCACCTTCGATCTCCAATAACTTAAAAACACAAAAAATAAAGAAAAAAGAATGATAAACATAAAAGAAATTCAAATTACATTGTCTAATATAAAAAATAAATTATTTGATTTTTTATTTTATATAATTAAAAAAGGAAGATATGGTATAATAGGAATATGGATTATTATAGCTTTATGTTGTAGTTATTTTGCATTAAATATATTTTCATTAACAACAGTACAATTTAGTGCTCCACCTGATTCATTAGCAGCAAAAGGAAATATAAAATTTGAAGAATTATATCCAAGTCATAGTAGTAATGAAATTTCTGTTGTAGTAATTACTAAAGAAGATGGTGGAAATGTATTAACAGAGACAATTAAAGAATTGTCATATCAAATTTTTGAAACTGCAGAACAAAATAATGCAACATTTGTTCTTGGAGTTTATTCAAATTTAACAGAAACAATTGATATTACAGATTATTTTGTAGAAAATGATACTACAGTTATATTAATGTCAAGTCCAATTGATTGTTCTTCTCATTTAATTCAAGAAGTTAGAAAAACAATAGAAAGATTTAATTGTGATGGATATAGAATTAGTGTTACTGGAATGACAGCTGCTTCAATGGATATAACAAAATCAATAATTTATGATATGAAACATATGGATATATTTATATTTCCAATAGCAATAATAATATTTCTTTATGTTATTCGTAATATAGTTCTTGTTATTATTCCTATATGTAATTTGATTATTATTTTATCTACTTCATTTGGAACATTATATCCTCTTGCTAAATATTCTGAATATTATTCTATTGCACCAGCAATTAATGTATCATTAATTGTTGCTATGTCAGTAGATTATTCATTATTCCTTTTAAGTAGATATTCTGAAGAAATAAGAAAAGAACAATCACATGAACAAGCTGTAAAAACAATGTTAAAACAAAGTGGAAGAATTGTAGCAACCAGTGGAATTGTATTAATGTGTTGTTTTCTTTCATGTTGTTTTTATGGAGTAACTATAATAGTAACAATGGGATTAGGATGTGTCATTTGTTTAATTTTTACAGTAATGGTCAATTTAACAATAACCCCTTCATTATTATTAATCTTTCCGAGATTTTTCCGGATAAAAGGATTAATACCATGTAATAAATGGTGTGTAAAATATTCTAATAATGTTGGATCATTATTTTGGCATATCCAAGCAGAATGGATGAGTAAAATAAAAAATAGTATTGTTGTGTTATTTATTGCTCTTTGTATTATGTTACCAATAATTATTTGTATGAAAGATTTTAAATGGACAATGGATCCTACTCAATGTTTTCCATCAAATGCTGAAGCAATAGAAGGATTAGAAGATATTGAAAAAGTAATGACACCAGGAATGATCTCTCCATACAAATTACTTATATTATCTGATCCAATGAATTCAATAAGTTATGAATTTATGAAAGACTTTGGAAATAATATAACAGAAAATATTGGAAAAGAGAATATAATTTGTTATAATTACATTAAAGGAAATATAATTCCACAAAGAGTAGTCAAAATGTTACAAAACATTAAAGTTTATTCACAATATTTTAATTATTCTACAACTTCAGAATCATTTTTATGTTATCTTATTCCACAAAATGTTGATGAAATGCAAGAAATTGTAGACCAAACTATTGATTTATTAAATAAATTAAATAAGAAATTTGGAATAGTAGGATATATATTAGGAACAAATACAGATATGGTAATGTTGGTTGAATATATATTAGACTTTTTCCCAATTCAATTAACAATATTAATTATAACAATATTAATTCTTATCACTTTTGCTTTTCAATCAATTCTTATGGCTTTTAGAGTAATTTTTACAACTGCATTAACTTTAGCATGGGTTTTTGGTATTTCAACAGTAATTTTTACTAGTAATATCTTTTATGATTTCGGTATTCTTTATGGTCCAACTGGGTTGTTTTGGTCTGTTCCTGTTATGTGTACAGATGTTTTAGTTGGGTTATGTCTTGACTATGACATTTTCTTATTTTCTAGAGTTTTAGAATATAGAAAAAAAGGTTGTTCTACTAAACTCTCTATTATTTTAGGTGTTGAACATACAGGATATCTTATTACTTATGCAGGATTAATTATGGCTGCTGCTTTTTCCGCTTTATTATTATCTTCTATGCCTGTTTTAAAACAATTCGGTGTTGTTTTATCTTTTGCTGTTTTACTTGACACGTTCGTTATTAGAACAATGGTTGTACCTTCTCTTCTTCATTTATTTGGTGAATTAAATTGGTGGCCAAGAAAATATCCTGTTAAATTTAATACTTATTCTGAATTTCTTGAACATCAAACAGACCAAACTCCTCTTCTTCTTCCTTCATCATTCTAAATAACATTTTTTATTGTTATTTATTTTTTGTTATTGTTGAATTTATTTCTTTCTTTTGTGTTTTTTTTTGCTTTTAAACAATAAAGTGTTTGTTTAATAAAATAATAGATAAAATTTTCATTGATAAAGTGTTTATTCAAAGAAATCAGAATATCTTTTAATAAATGCTTAAGAATGACAATATTCCATTTACTCTGTAAATTAGAAATTGTTATTATAAAAAAAAGACAGAGAACAAAGTTGTAATAAAAGAATTAAACAAAAGAATTAATTTGAGATAATAACTGTTCACCATTCATTAATTCAGTAGCACCATAAATAATTCTTTTACCATTTCTATCAGCATATTGTTGAATATTAGAATATTCAGTATAATTACCACCACCAATAACAAACACAATAGAGTCTTTAAATTGAATTGACCTTCTATTATCTAAAATATTAGAAATTGAAATTTTAGGATCATAGTAATTATATTCTGATTCTAATTCACTTTTTTTACACTCAGTTATTGTATCTACTAACACAGTAACTGCCATATTTTTATCAGATGGTAATAATCTTTCAACAACTTTACCAAACATATCACTCATCATTCCTGCAAATCCAACTTCTTTTTTCTTTTCTTTTGTTAGTCTTAAATATTCTTGTGTTTGTTTTAATTTTTTCATATAATTTAATGCTTTTAATGGAATATTTTTTTGTTCAAGTACTTTTTGTAATACATTACTTTCATTTGAATTTAATAAATAAATATAAAATAACCGAATTAAATCATTTTCATTTTGAATTCTTTCAATAAATAAATTTAATGCGGTTGGATCAACTGGTATTTGTGACATAACGTTATCTTCATATGAAAATAATAAATCAATTTCTCTTTTTTTAATATTTTCAACAATTTCTCTTGCAATTGTAGTGTGAAGATCAATTTCTTTTTTTAATTGTCTTATTTCTGTCATTTTTTCTCCATATTTCATCATCCCTTCACTTTGGAGTACTTTCTTTTCTTCTTCATTTAAATTTACTTCTACATTTTCATCAAAATTAATCCCAAAACTATTTGCTACTACTTGAAATTTTTCTTTTTCAGTTATTAATTCTTTCGTTTTGTTTTGAATAACGTCTGTTACATCTGGAATAATTTTATTTTTACATTCATTCCAAAAGTCACTTGTTATATCTATATCTTCCCAATGGTCATTAATTTTTACTCTATTCATTTTATATTCTATTACTTCTTTTATTAATGCTTGATAATTCCATCCATGTAATAACCCTGCTGAAATATCATGATTTCTATTAGTTATTAACATTAATGGACGTGTTGATACTCCTCTTTGAAAGAATGTAGGATTTTGTGTATTAAATAAATTTAATTTTTGTGTTAATTCTTTTGCAATAACATCTTCTAAACTACCATTTCTTGCTCTAATAATTGGTATTTCTTTTAATGTAATACAAATACTCATTAATGAATTAGTTACATTATCAATTAATTTTAATGCATTTTCTTCTTTTATTTGTGGGTCATTAAATTGTTGATATGAATTAGACATAGATAATGTAAAAAGTTGTGGTTCTAATACATGATAATTAACATATAAATCTTCTATTTTATATATCATTTTTTCTACTTTATTTTCTAAACAACAATTTGCAAAATATTGAAGTAATTCACTTGAAATTCTTGATGAAAAACAAATAGTAAAATTTAAATACATTCGTGATTTCATATCATCAATAATCTGATCTAAATTCTCTTTTGTCGCTTCTACAAAATAAATAGCTGGAACATCATCTAAAACTTGACGTGTTTGTTTTATGTTGAGCATAAGTGTTACTCCATATTTTCTTACATCACCTACTCTTAATTGTAAAGAAAGAAGATCACTATTAAATTGATCAAAAATAATAACTTTCCAAAATAATTCTTCTTCATTGTTATTTAATATATCATTTTGATTTAATCTAAGCATAGAAGTTAATATATTTTGTTGTTTTGTTTGTAATTCTAATACTCCTTTATACTCCATTCACAAACTTATTATTGATTTTAGTTCATTTTTATTTTTTTATTCTTTTTATTTTTTATTCTTTTTATTTTTTATGTGATATATACAGAAAATATGAAATTTCATCAAAGCATTCAATTTCCATTTAATGGTGCATATTCCCCTCCACTTCTTTTTCGTCTTAACAATGCTAAAACTACACAAACAATAGCAACAATAATCAAATATCCTCCAATACTAGAAAAAGTGACAATAGTAATTGTTGTGTCTTGTTTAATTGCAAAAACACATTGGAATAAAAGAACCAAAATTAATGTAACATAATTCATGATTAAAATTTGTGTTATTTTAAAGATTTTTTATTTTTTGTTTTTTCTAATATTATTATTTGTTATATATAACGAAAATTAAATAAACCTCAATATTAAAAAAGAACTAAGAATTATTTAGATATACGTGTGATATGACTCAAGTGACTGATACTCAAAAATATGATAGACAGTTAAGATTATGGGGAGAAGTTGCACAAGCAAGACTTGAAAAGAGTAAAGTTTTATCAATTGGAAGTGATTGTGTTGCTAGTGAATTTATGAAAGCAATTGTACTTCCAGGAATTGGATTTATAGGAATTGCAGACAAACATATTGTTGATGAAAATGATTTAGAAACTAATTTTTTCATTGACTGTGAAAGTCTTGGACAAAAAAGAGGAGAATGTGCCCTTAATAATTTACTTGAACTAAATGATAGAGTTAAAGGAGAATATTATTTTAAATCATTACAAGAAATACTTAAAGAAGAATCTTTTATTCAAACATTTGACATTATTGTTTGTAGTAATCAATTACATGAAGATGTTATTTCTCTTTCAACATTAACAAAGAATCCTGTTATTGAAGTTTATACTAATGGATTTATTGGAGTTGTTAAAGTGTATGTTGGAAGTCATGTAATTTTTGATGATGGTAATTCTAATATTCCAATGGATTTAAGAGTACCATATCCATTCCCTAAATTACAAGAATTTTATAATTCAATTGATATTCCGACTTTAAATAAAGATAAACATATGCATGTTCCTTTTCCTTTAATTTTGATTTGGGCATTAAATCAATGGAGAAAAGAAAAAAGTCAAACTGGAGTGCCTAAGTCTAAACAAGATAAAGATATGATTAAAGAAATAATTAGAAAACAGGCATTTAACTTTTATGCTGAAGAAAATTTTCAAGAAGCTCTTCAATTTGTATTTTATTGTTGGCAAGATACTCCTGGTAATGTTAAACAATTATTAAATGATCCAAGAAGTTCTTCTTCTTTAACTGGATTAAAGAAAGAAGAAATTGAATTTTGGGGATTTATTGGAGGTGTTAAAACATTTAATGAAAAGAATAAACGTTTACCAGTTGATTCAGGAATTAAAGATATGATTGCAAGTAATGAGTATTTTGTTCAACTTCAACATGTGTTTGTTTCACAATTAGAAGAAGATGCAAAAGAAGTATTAGAATATATCAAAGAACGAGTTAATCGAGATGGTGTTGAAAAAGAAGTTGAATTTACACTTGAAATGGTCAAAAGACATTGTAAAGCATTAAGAAAGATGCATGTTATTGATGGAGTTGATGGGAAATATAACTCAAGTTGGACAGGACAAGATTATTTGTTAAATACACCACAATCTAGTTTAATGTATTTAGCTATAATTTATGCATCATTTGAATTTGAAAAGATTCACCGAAGATTACCATGTGATAAGCAAGATGTTGATGAATTACTTGAATTAACAAAACATGTTCTAAAGGAAAAAGATGTTGAACAAAACGTAGAACGAAGTTGTGTTGAACAAATATGTAGATTTGGTGGTGTTCAACTTCATACAGTCAATTCAGTTATTGGATCATTTGTAGGTCAAGAAGTAATCAAATATGCTTCACATCAATTTGGAGCATTAGACAATACCTTTATATTCAACACTGAAACTGGTAGTTCAATCAATGGACGTTTCTAACTAAAAGAATTTTTTTTAATTCATTTTTTTTAATTTTTAGTTTAAACAATAAAAATGAAAGATTATTAAATTATAGTATTTCTTTGTTTTTCTTTCTGTTTTTATTCATTATTACCATTTTGGTTTTTTAAATCCTTATTATTGAAGTTATTTTCACTATGTTACTAACTTTATGTTACAAATTGAAATAAATGTTATTAGAAATTTAGTCAATAATTAAAATGAAATACTCAACATACATTGCATTGAATAAATTCTGTTTTATCTTTGAAGTAATAAATTATATAATTTGTCAATTAACTCAATTAAAAATATCATTTCAAACACTATTTCTTTTAAATTAAAAATTACAACTAATTTGATAATTAAATATAATATTCAATGATTTATTTTTATTTTTCATTGTTTTGTTTAAATCCATATATTTGAATAGATTTTGTTTTTATTGAAATACATTCCATTTTATTAATGTGTATTTCTTTGATGACAATATTTTATTTTTTGACTAGAATTTATGTCAATGATTCTAATATATTATTTTTGATTATCTTGATTTTACTTAAAACTATTTCATTTAAAACTATTTCAAAATATTGACTGTTAATAGATAATATTTGATTTGAGTAAGTTATAAAGAGTTTTTATTGATTAAAATAGTTGTTGTTTGATAATTACTATTTTACATCAAAATTAACAAAATTCAAAGATATGATTAATTAAATATTTCTGTATTCTTTTTATATAAGTTATAATAAATAATTGATATTATTTAAAATCACTTTTATATTTTATTTGAATATGAGTAATTATTTGGTTGTGTAATACTTTCTTCTTCTTTCATTAAAAGTTATATTTCTTTTAATTGTTCATTGTTGTTATTTAAATTTGTATTTCAATTATTCTGTCTTTATTTTTGTTTATATTTATTGAAGAAATAGAAATAAAACACTTTAATATTCTTTGAAATTTCTTTATTTTATTCAATATTATTTGTACTAATGTCATTTCATTAATACTCTTCTTTATTATTTTAATTATTTAATTCGATATCTTCATAATTATTTAATTATATATTAGTCTTTCTTAATAATTTGATTAATTATTTACATATTTCATTTGGCTATTATTTATCAACAACATCAAAATGTTATTTTAATATTTTTAATGAAGATATTTAATTATTTTTCTTTTAATTTGTTATTTACAATGTTTAGATATACACATATATTATCCTCTTTTAATTCATGTTAATTTTTCATTATTTATTGTTTTTATTTTATATTTCATTAAGTATTTATTCAATGTATTTGATATAACGAATATTATAGGTTTTATTTATTTGTAATTTCGTGTTTATTTTGATATAATTACATTAATCCAACCTAATTATTTCATACCATTCCTTTAAACAAAAATATAAATTTAAATGTTGCAACAATCCAAGACATATTTTAATGAATTAAAGAAATTAAATATGTATAAACAGTCATTAACATAATTTGTAAGTGTGATAATAGAAGATGATAGAAGATGATGAAATAATACACAACTCTTGTTAAATTTGATGACAATAAATTTACATGAAGATAAAGAAGTATTTGATATATTATTTATATTTGATTTGTATAAAAACGTCTTTAAGACACTATTTTCATTATTTAACTTTGCTGATATTTTTATTAATGAATAAGAATTTTTTGGTTAGAATAATTCTCTCATATTACAAGAAGGTTCTAACAAATTTCAATCACTGTAGTACAGTTAATACATGCATTTTCTTTTTCTAAATTTCATTAGAATCACATTGAAAATGATAAATCAAAACATTATATTTTTATTTTAATAAAAACAAACCGAAGATTTGAACATAGTCAATTGTTATTTCATTGAAACAATTTATTTAATGTTCGATTGTCAATTTTCTCAAAGAAATAATTATACAACTTATGAAAATTCTACTATTATTCTGTTTGTTATTGATTTTGTAATTTCACTCTTTGGTTGGTATTATGTTATAACTGTATTGTCTTTAACATTTGCAACTTCTCAATCTTTATAGCTAATTTATCCTCCAAACTCAGTTATGTTAGTTCTTCTCATATGTTTTGTTTGTGTTATTTTATTCTTATCATTGGCTCTTGTGGTTTCTGTTTGTTCTTTTTTTCTTCTGTGGTTGTGTATTGTATTTATCACCTATTCTCTCAACTGCTTCAACATTGATAGGAGTTGGTCTTTTTGCCTATTCTATTAATTTTTCTATTTCTATTTCTGATCTAGTGTTATCATCATCTTCTTCTGTTTCCGAGTCAACATAGTACATAGGTAAACCTTCACTTTCATTTCTTATTGTTTGTTAAATACATTTTATTAGTTGTTGTTTTTTCTAATTGTTTGTCTGGTATATAATAGCAGTTATTACATACAATACAAAGGCGTTTCCAAAATTCAGAAAAAAGAAAAACATTACACAGTATTTTAACTATGATTTGTAGGTTATTGGAAGTTATATCAGTATTATAGTTTAGAAAAATAACAATTGCTTCTATTCCTTCTTGCTCTTTAACAAAATTAATCATACTATTCAAAGACTCTTCATTTAACTCGATTTTTGAAGACTATGCGTATCAATAACAAGTACATCAATTCCATTATCTTCACCATTTTCTCCTTATGTTTCTTTTGTAACAGGAATTGGACTATGATTGACTGTAAAAATTCTCATCATTACTTAAAATAAAATTACCAATTGAACTTTTCCAACACCTATATTTCTAGTCAAATGAAATTTGTTCATTTTGATTTATATTCTGGTATTTTTATTTTTTAGTTACAACTTCACTCTCTTTAAATAAGACTAGGATAATAGTCACGAAATGTTTATTTACAAATGACACTTAAAATTTTATTGATATAAAAACTTTGCCAGTCTTATTTAAAATGATAAACAAGCATACCCCTTTTATATTTATAAATAAATAGGAATTTTTCTTGAACAAAGTTTTTAATCTAGCTACAAAATGTCAAATGTATTGAATTAAATAGTACAATTATACAACAAACTATCGTTATGGTAATATGTGTTGTAGAATTTTTGGTTTTAATTCTTTTTGACACAATTATCCCGTCATACTCAGTGATGTCAGAAAACTAATTCTATTCACCACTTAGATTTATCAAAACAGTCTCATCATTTTCATCAATAAATGACATTTATTAATGACTAAAACTTATAAAAAACATTTTCTATTTCACTACCAAGTATTTTATTTTTTACAATTTTTATTTATGAAATTTCAACACCAATTCTTTTTTATTGATTTATTTCAATAAAACAATAATTTTGCGGTATTGTATTTTTATTATTACACCTTTATTGAAAATATAATTAAATGTTTTTATTTTTATTCTATTTTCTCTTTGATTTTTTGTATCATTGTTTTTTACGTTAAGACTGCGTTTATTCTCTCAAATTTAAAACTAAGCATCATTCTTTTTTTCAGTAACTTCATTGGTTTGTTATTGATTATAACTTTGATATTTATATAACAAATGATGTTTTTGTGAATCTTTTTTATTCCACGCAAATATTCATTTTTAAAATTATAGGTTGTATAATTTTCTTTCAAATCAACCACACAACTGAACAAAAATTAAAATGAATTAATTATTACTATCATTGTAAGTTTTCTAAGTTAATTTTTAACTAATCATAGTTATTCAGATTCAAACTACTTTAATTGACACTCATTATATACATTTATTCTATTGTGTGTTTCATTTATATCAGAGTTACAATATTAGTTATTATTTTCTTTTTATTGTATCAAATAAAAATCAATTTGAATTTCAAACAATAACAAAAGTAATGTTGTGATATGGTTTGATGATAAAACAAGCAACATCAGCATAATAAATATACAATTTACATTAAACATGAGATATATTGCATATTTGAAAAATGTATTATTTTAAAATCCATAGAATGGTATATGTTAACCCTCATGTATTGATAGTTTCAATTGAAAAGAGAGATACTAAATATTGTATATGAAAAATAAGAAAAATGATATAAAAAAGATAAGATTTTTAATTAGAAATACAAAATACTTTATAAAATAATTATCATTTCAGAAAATGAAGAAAGACGAAAATAAACTCTCTCATAAACAATATTTTAAATGTTTTGACAAAAAATAAATTTTATGTTCATCTTTTATTTCTTGGAAAAGTAAGATTAGTACCATCAATTTGAAGAAGTTTTATCATCATTTTTATTGATTAAATTAAAAAATACAACCATTTTATTTTGTTATATTAATTTTCAATTATCTGGTATTGTTTGTCAAGTTTAATCGTTACCAAATATTTGTCCATCAATACAATTTTCTGAAACACCATTTTGATCATCAGGTGTTGTGATAAGTGGAGAGGTATCATTTTGAGCCTCATTTTCTATTGCTTCAATTTTCTTTAAACCTTTTTTAGTGATAGATTTTTCAATAGCACCAATAGCAAGACCAATAGCACCACCAACAAAAGGTGCTGTGATAGCTATTGCTCCAAAAGTAACAATACTAGCAACACCAATAGCAGCACCGGCAATACCACCAGTAATAACACCTACGATTCTAACTGCTTTTTTCTTTCTTTCCATTTTTCTTATTTCTTCTTTCCTTTTTTCAAACAGTTCTATCTCTTTTGCAATTTGTTTACACAATTCTATCCCTTTTGCAATTTTTTCTTTTTCCACTTCTTCATTGTGTAGTTTTTCTGTTTTAGTCCTACTGCTAATTACATACCACTCACCATACTTAATTTCTCCAGTGTACATTACTTTGTTATCTCTTCTATAAATATTTGTTTCATATGTTATACTATATTTTGTTTCTTCTGTAATATGAGTTTCTTCTTTTTCTTCATACTGAATTTCTTTGTATTCACTTATTAATTTCTTGGTTTCATTTTCATCAATATGTTGTATTTTTCTTAACCATTTTATT